AATGCATTTGGTAGTTTTATTAAAGAAATTGTTTTCATTATAAAAAAACCTATTAATGTTTATCTTTCTCCCTTTCTCTGCTCGAGAGAGGAGAAAATAAAAACAAAAAATGAAAAACAACTAAAAGTTATTTTTTATTTTTCTCTCATTTTACACTAAATTAAAAATCGTTTTCATTTCTATTTTTTGTCTTTATTGCGCCAAACGCCTTTTTAAAAACGTTTTTATTTTTTTTTCTCAAAAAACGTGAAAAATAAAAACGGGATCAATTCAAAACATAGCCTATATTAGTGTTACTATCATCCTCTGATTTGGAGTTACTAGCCGAACCAGCTCCCCCTTTTGGACAATTTCTTTTGAGGTGCTCAGATTGTCCACAACCCTAACATACAATTTTCTTTTTCATGGAGTTCTTCTTCTTCCAACTTTCTGCTATCAATGCTGAGTTATCAGGTGAAATATTTTTCCCACTTCGCAGCCTCTTTTCTTCAGACTAAAGTTTTCCCGTAATTTTTGAGAAAATAATCTTTTCTTTCCCATGAATCAAAATAGGTTTCATGTGTTCATAGGAAGATGGAAGAGACTAAATAACCCTCAAAGCTATATCCTCATCATCTATTTTGAGTCCAATAGCTTCCAGTTCAGAGACGATCCCAATGAGAACACTCAAATGATCTGGGATCGTAGTACCTACATTCATATGCCATGTGTGAAACTGCTTCTTCAGGTACACGCGATTTGATACACCTTTTGCCTGGTACAATTCTTCAAGTTTTTCCTAGAGATCCTTGGCCATAGATATTCCATGAACACTTTGTATAAACTATAGGAATAATTTTAGAATTTTAGAGGTACAAAATAAAGCTAAAAAGTAACGTCATGGAAATTGTTCTTTTGTCTAAAAAGGAAAAATCAAGGAAAACTTAGAATTTTCCCAAGACACTTCCATACATTATAACATGAAGTACATCATATCATGAACATATATTCATTTATCAAATCATCAAAACAAAGAAAATATGAACTTATATATAATTTCTATAAAATGGCATGAACTTTGTTCTTGGCACCTTGAGTACTAGTCATGTTCACCTGTAGAAAATAACTCAACGTGATGTTAGAATTAATAAATATAACACCATAACATTATTCACGTTAATTCTTAACGTCTACTTCTAAGAATTTTATCAGTTTAGAAAAATGGGTGTTACATTAACTGGATAACTTGGATAGCAAGCAACCGAATCCCAAAGGGTTCCACTTATACTAGGCGTGTACACTATGTGGTCCCACCGCATATGTGTTTCAAAATTAGTTATTAAATAATCACATTATATAATATTCAATTAATTATTTTTGAGTGATTTAATTTAGAATTCCATTATTATAAATTTTTCATTTTATCCGTAATGTCTTGTCCAATTACAAAGATGATTGGAGACTCATGGACCTACAATATCAAGTTTCAATAAAATTAATAATTAATCAAACTCTTTAATTAATTAATACTATTAATTCTAAAGCTACTTAACTATAGACTTGGAATTGCACTCTTGATATTACATAAATGTATTCACATCAATGAAACATCCACTTGATATAGTCACTTTATATAGATCAATCATCCATAAATAATTCATAATTTGAGCTAGGTGGAATCCGTTAACCTCTCTAATTACATCTTTATCCTTGAGTACCATTGATTCTCTAATGGATAGTGATTTATAAAAAAAAAAAATCATGAATCAAAGCTCCTATTAATCCAATTACCGAATCAACCTTTAACAGAATTAGTCATCTGTTTTTTTCTCAAGAAAGAATGGATTTCAGCTAGTATATTAACATTCTTGTCTACTCACTTGATCATCATGTCTTAAGATACAAGGAATATGATTTAAAAAATCTCAAAATCTATACTGAGTAAGTCAAAAGACACGAATCCACAAATAGGAGTCTGCTAATAACTCATGATTAAAATCATTTTAATATGACCATTGATAGACTCAATAAGAATTTCTATACAAAAACACAAATTATCAGAAATTCATATTATGTCTTGTCTCAGTCTTACATAATCTCATTATATAAAATACACTCATTCGATATCTCTTCATATCAACGATGCGGATAAGTTCATTCCATTCTTAATGAGAATGACATGTATTAATGATATTTTAATTAAAGATTCTGAACTTCAATTAAACTCATTATGGACTCATTTGATTATTATCCTTATATCTATTATCCTCTAGTATATAACACTTATATACAATATTTGAGGTCACATAAATAAATCGTGAAATTTTTAATGATATTCATAAAGTATTCAATAACATAAACACATATAATAATAAAGTTTCTCTTAAGGGATCTTGAAGTTTTTAATCAAACTATGCTGGCATAACAAGGTTATAGATTACTTCAAAACAGACTCTTTGGCGGGACAAGTTTTTAAGCCACAATATTTTTCGTCTAACCATATTTTGCAAGCACAGCTTGCCAGCAACCACCCGTCTTACATTTGGAGGACCTTATTATCGAAATACTTTATTATTATATGTGTGCATTATTGAATATTTTATGTATATCATTGAAAATTTTACGATTATTTATGTGACCTTAAATATTGTATATAAGTGTTATATATTAGAGGATGATATTTAAGGATATTAAACGAAATGAGTCCATAATGAAATTAATTAAAATTTATAATATTTAGTTAAAACATTATTAATATATATCATTCTCATTAAGAATGGACTGAGTTTATGCCCATCGTTGATATGAAGGGATATCGAATGAGGGTATTTTACATAATGCGATTATGTAGGACTAGGATAAGACACAACATGAAATTCTGATAATTTTTGTTAAGTATAGAAATTCTAATTGGGTTTTTTTGGGTTTGAGACAAAAATTTCTTCTTATAATTTTAATACGGAAATAGTAAGAAATAGGCCAATATGAAAAGCTTAAAAAAGTATATAAGCCAATTTTTAGTTATAGAAATTAATAGGCCATAACTTGTCAAGTTATGGTTCATAACCAAATAAGTTATGGACAAACTTGTCAAGTTATGGTTCATAACCAGATAAGTTATGGACAATAACTTGTCAAGTTATGGTTCATAACCAGACAAGTTATGGATGAAAACAGTAATTTGGCCTCTTTATTAACTTATATAAACTATTGACCTATTAATTTTAATTCATCTCAAGTCTTGGCTTATTTTCCTCTTTCTCCCATTTTAATATTACGAAAAAGAAAGTTTTGATAACACCAACCGAGGATAGAGTTGTAGTTCCAATATGCAAAAGAAATTTGGAGATGTATTAAATCTTCTACCAATAATTAATTGCGATATGAGGAAAAAATTTCCCTAAGTTGGTGAATTTCGAAATTGACTGAGATCGATATAGGTCATAACTACTCTCTAAACTCGTTAATTGAGATGACAGACCATAATATTATGAATTTCTTTGGAATAAAACTTCCCAATTAACCTATGTCCTAACACCTTATTCTTATCCTCTCTATGCTATTAACAAGAAGCTCAGACCTACTTGAAACTCTGCATGTTTCTCCCATGAGTTCAATTCTTCCTTCATAGTAGACTTACTGAAAAAACTTGAGGGGTTGTTTGGTTCACCATTATCGATTGAAAAATCCATTTAGAATGAGGTTCAAGATCCAAATTAATTTTTTATGTAGCATTTTTGGATCAAATTTGATTCAATCTACCAAACTTAACATTTAATCCTCCTTCCCCCATTTGAGCCTATATGCTACAGTGAAAATAGTTGCTTTCTTCGTTTCAGCTTTGATTGAAATGATTTTACGTCCTATGCATTCTAAGTAAATAAAGGAACAAATCCCGATCCTTAATCTATCAAAATTTACCATTGACAGTGACATTTTGTAAGATTTGCTACGGAACTAAAATAGTTTTCAAATGAGTGTTTTTAACAATATATCTAAACATAATTTAGATTTTATTCTTAATTCGAATTACAAGTTATCTATTTATTCAAATCCCAAGTTTAGATTTTTCAATTCAAATAAAAAAGGTTTAGAAATTACCGCAATTCAAACCCACTAACCAAAAGAGCCTCGAACTTTCAGGATACCAAATAGTATATTGTATACACGATGCATGTCAACTTAATTTGAGAACTTATCTTCACCAGCAAAAAGAAACACAGAAACAAAAACCAATGTACCAGAGGCCAGCAAAGTCGTGAACTTCACGCACATTACTTGTGCGTCCTGAAGCTAATCCCGAGTTTACAGAAGTGGCAGTATATTAAGGCCCGCGTACTTCGCTCATTTGAGTTTTTAATTCGAGTTAAGATGTGACTTTATGTGAGAATTTTTCACTACAGTAAAAAAGTTAGATATGACTGTTTTTAAGAATTTTTTACTGTAATAAAACTCAAATTTTAAATTTAAATCGATAAAATAAACAGAACCTAAACCTCCGTTTAGTTGGACAACTCAGCCCAGTTTAGTTGGACAACTCAGCCCAGTTCTGATCAGTTCAGCTCAAACCACAATTCGGATTGATGTTTGGTGAGCACATTAATTAAAACTGAACGGGCCATTTAATTTGAGTTGAAATGGCTCAAACTCCGAATTCATCCCTCCCTTTCAATTAATCAATTTGAACTAATCTTCATATATATATATATATATATGGGTGTTCTTTTATTTTTAATGCAATGTCAATTTTTTTATTCTTAAAGTCATAAAAGCATTTCTTTTAACAGAATTACCACCAAGTTCACAGTTAGAATTGTTTACAAATTAAACGCTAATTCTGTTTAGATGTACAATTCGTAACACTCATCCAAGCATTATTTCAGATTATATTCCCTACTCGAATTAAAACTTTAAAATACACATAAAAATACCAGTTCAGACTACTGTTTAAATCAAACCGTTTGAATTTTTTTGTTCAAATCAAAAAATTCAAATTAACACAATTCAAACCAACGATCCAAACAGGGGCTAAAACTACAACATAACAATGGACCCACCTGTTTTTTGAGTCACCTAGTAGTTCTATTTTACCGGTACACATGTTTCAGATGCATGTTGCCTATTCTAAACTACATCTCATCTCAACTTAAATGCACAATTGAATATACAGCGGACACCTCATTTCTAATGCATTCTTTCAAACAAGAATACAAGGGTATCAAAACTTTACACGCTTTCGGTAGCCTCACAAGTATTGTTTATTGACTATCCTTGTGTGCTTAGTACACTATTCAAGGGTCTGCCATGGCAAGTGCAAGCTATCGTCGTATTGCAAGCTCGTCTTGTAAAAGGATTTCATAAATGTCGGTCCGCAGATTCAGTTCCTTATCCCGCATAACCTCTTGTAGATCTGACAGCTCTTTTGCAGAAAGAATAGAGTTAAGCTTTATAAAACCATCCATCCAAAGCTTTTTGGACCTGAGAAACAAAATTAACGCTCAAAGACTGATAAATATGCAGAGATAAAATTAGTTTACAGCTAATAGTTGAAACTATATGCTTTTTGATCTGCAGAATGCAAGCGCTTTGGGATATTCTGTCTATGGTAATGCAAAGTGGAAAGTTTCACGAGATCACACATTTTCCACTCTATCTTTTGTTTGTACATATATCCAGGGTCATTCAAACACTTCATTTTGGACTGCTGAAAAAAAAGGGACCGCCCTCCTTAACATAGTACTAATAATAACAAAAAAATAGAAATAAACCAACAAAAGACAAAAAAACTAAGCATTAATAGTACCAAAACCTAAAAATAAATATTTTTTAGTAGTAAAAGAATCCGCCTATAATATAATTGGAAGCGACATACCATCGCCACACAACTGAATGACTGAGAACCACAAGAACTCTATACACACATTAGACTATTTACTTAATTGATAAGAGAACTGAATAATATATGCTCTCTCTAATAGCAGTCAAGACGAGTGCCAGAAACAGAGCAAATTCATATCTTAATTTCTCATCAGGGGAGCTTAGCTCTTACCATGGGCAGGCATGTATTGCTCGAAAAAAAATCCGCCTCGCCGCAGAAAAATCACGTGCTATGTTGGCCTCATACGCAATGTAACACCGCCAAAGTAGAACTGAATTCTGCATTGTATCATTTCCCACTGCCTTCTCAAATAATCCACGGATCCTATGCTGGGAGCCCCCTCTATTTATCTCGAATGATAAAGCAAAAATCCAGATAACCACAGATTCTTTCCTAAGAATATAAGCAATAAGTCTTAGAAGTTGTTCATAGAAGGTGAGTGGACAAATCTAAATGAAAGCAGATAGACTGAAGCAAATCCATTATGCAAGTTGTATTAGCTGAGACTGATGAGACCAAATATTGGGATTTAAGACTCTGTAATCTGAATGAGAAGTAGGCAAAAATTTTAGCATGAAAAGGAAATGAATGGATAAAGACGGTTATTATGAGCAAAATGTGAATTTAAAGTAACAATGCTAAGCACAAACGCACCACAGCATAATACATACAAGCACCAAAAGTAAACGCTCTCTGAAAAGTTTATCATTCACCACAGCATGCAACGAGACCACATAATGCGTAAGATAAAATAATAATAAACTGTATGCATTATGATGTCTTACGTGGGCAAATTAGAAGACTAAAATGCACCACAACTATCCCAGAAGCATATCCATTTGAGGGCGTCTCATCTCATATACATGAGTATCCAAATATATAGTTCCAACAAGAAAACAAAAGGAACTAGGATCTCACTTTTGACAGTATTCATCAAAGATCCTCCGAATCTTATTGGATGTCGTGTAGAGATGGCCAATCTGTACTAAAGCACTACATAGTTGTGAATTAAAAGGAAATATTTGCAGCCCCTCACAGATGGACTCCCAACATTTCGACAGGCTCACATGATCCAGATGTCTCTGAAGCATCCTCAAATAAAACTCGAATAAGAACTCAATTTGAAAAGTATGGCTCCTCCTTTCTGTGGATTATAAATATTTCATCATGATAAAGCATGTTTTGAAACTTGTTACGTTCAAATAATAGACTTATATAAATCACAAGTGAAGCATGAAATATATGACTTGTCAATTACTTTGCCTTGGAATTAAACAGTCACAGAAAAACCTTTATCTGTGGTATAGATGAACTCAATCATACAAAAGGAAGAAAATTTTATTAAACAAACACTCGAAAAAGTTAGCATTTGAGTAGTATCTTAAGATGCGAAGCAAAGATACATGCCTGGAAGCACCATTGCAAATGCTTGATCTAAAATCTGAATACCCGCCGTCCATCCTGAGGTTAATTCTTCAAATAAAGCTGCTGAGCATACAAGAGAAACAGATTGATCATCTATAATGCCACGCACCCATGCTGATCTCACTGTTCCTATTTTTTGTGTGAAGCCTTGGTGGGCTCTCAGCAATTGCACACTTGACACTTGACTTTTAAATGGACTGTATGGTTCACCACTTCCTAAACAAGATAATATATGCACTGCTCGAAGTGATGATTCATGACCGTTGAGAGGATTGTTTGCAAGCTCCGTCTCCGCATACCAGAAATAAATAAGAGGAGCAATAGACCGTAATTCCTGCTTGTTGGTGACATTGAAGAAATGCATTAGAAGCTTAGCACAGGTATGCTAGATGAAACTGAAATCATCTCAATTCCCTGGACATTGTCAATGGAAAGGAACGCGAGACATTTTAAGGACAAAGCAATGGATTCAAATGACCTTGAGAAAGCACAGTTTTCTGCTTCTCTTTCGGCCTCTATAGACAGAGACTTCAAGGGCTTCCCATTTTCTTTGATAGTTCTTAATTGGAGAGATGTGATTGGGAAATAGTTATGTACTCTAGTTTTTGGGGTTTTCTTTCTGTTTTTCTATGGTTTTCTTTTTGAGGAAATCTCATCGTCCACTACCCTGTATTGGACAATTTTAGCAACAAAAGGTTTCTTGTTTATTATCAAAAAATTAAAAATAAAAAGAAAAATAAAAGAAAAGAAAAAAGAAACTGAAAAATAATAGGAGGAAAAGGGGAACAGAGATGGGAGTTACAGTATGCAAAGGAAGACATTTTCAATAAGACAGGTAGATCTTACCAAAGGGAGCCCGTCAATAGATGACAACGCCATGTCAAATACTCTTCTCGCATGATCCATATTACCATAAAAAGCCTCTCTACGTGCATAAACTCCGCATAACAATACATCCTAGGACAACAAAGAACACGAGCATATATTCTTTAAGAGCCTATCATGCAAGTATGATTAGGCCGAACCACCCAAGAATCAGACAATTCAACCAAAATACAATGGAAAATAAAGACACTTCTTATTATACCAATACAAAACTCTCTTAAGAGCATGATAACAGTGAATTATCATTCGGCCCTTTTGATAGTTAACATTTTGATACTTGCAGCCCTTTCAATAAATGACAAAAGTGAAAAACAATTAGCATCAATTTAGAAGAAACTCGAATTTACCCAAGGAATATGGAAATGGCCGCAATTCATGTTCCTGTAGATTGTTGTATCCTAACTTATGAGGCACACCAATCAAGACATGAGCAAGCCCCCAATTTTCAAGTACCCATATTAAGGATATTGCTCAGCAACAGTTTCTAAGAATTATACAGAATCTATTGAACTCAATAAATGAGAGCAATGACATCTTGAAACACATATTTCCACTGAATTCCATCACCAAAATAAATGTGAAACTTGTATCTTAAATTTTATTGGCCTTGTTTGGTTTGCCGTTTGAATTGTAGTGATTTAATTTGAATCGTAAAATCTGAAATGTGGTTATTTGAATTGCGATTTGAACCGGCGTTTGGATATGCAAATAATTGTAATTTGAATTGGGTATAAAATCCGAATCGTGTTTGGGTAGTGTTGAAAACTGCCATTAGAGTTTTGCAACAAATGTTATAAAACCTCATTATAAAAAACCGATCTAAATATGCAGTATGGATAAGGATTTGTTCCTCTCTTCATTATGAACATATAAGAAAAAAAAATCATCGCAATTGGAGTTCAAACAAAGAAACTGTTGAAATTCAAAATTCAAATTAGGAATTATCCTCAATATAGTTCGGATTGATATTAGGATTAGGATTTGATTTCCTATCTTTAAATTCAGTTTTCCTCTATCTCTTATCTCCTAGTTTAGTGGGATATTTTCCCGATTCTCTTTAACCTAGAATTTATAGTTGTAGCATATATATATATATATATATATTGTACCGATTCTATGAGATTAATAAGAGAGAAAAGAGGGCAATTTCCTTCTCTGAAATTCTACATGGTATCAGAGCCTTTAGAAGCCCTAGTATCAATTCATCTCTCCCTCCTTAGCGCCGCCTGAAAATACTCACAGTGCCGCCAAAAAAACCAGAATCACAGACCTCTTCAATCCCCTGCCGTTCAAACCCTACCCATGACCAAATACGGTATGGCTACCGAGAGATCTAGTTCAACCTCGGAAGTTAACTCCAATCCGGATATGTCCCCAGTCAGCAATCAGCATGGTGGAACGGAAGGCTCATCTATCCTTATCACAGGTCACAAACTCAATGGCCACAATTACCTCCAGTGGTCTCAATCAGTGATGATGTTCATATGCGGCAAGGGCAAGGATGAGTATCTCACTGGCGAAGTCTCAATTCCTGATAAGAAGGATCCAAAATTCAGGACATGGAAGACTGAAAACCACATGGTTATGTCATGGTTAATTAATTCCATGAATAATGACATCGGAGAAAATTTTCTCCTTTATGGGACTGCAAAAGAGATATGGGATGCAGTTAGGGAAACCTATTCGAGTTCAGAGAACACCTCTGAATTGTTTGAAGTAGAAGCCGCATTACATGATCTGCGCCAAGGAGATCTCACGGTCACACAATACTTCAATACCCTGAATCGTCATTGGCAGCACCTTGACATGTTTGAAGTTCATCCTTGGAAGTGCACAGAAGACACAAATCTGTACAGGAAGATTGTGGAACAGAAAAGAACCTTTAAGTTTCTTCTTGGACTCAACAAAAATCTGGATGAAGTCAGGGGGAGAGGGATGGGAATAAAACCCCTTCCAAACATAAGGGAAGCCTTCTCAGAAGTTCGGAGAGAAGAGAGTAGGAAGTAACTAATGATGGGAACCCAGGATAGTGCTTCCAGCCTTGAAGGAGCAGCTCTAACAATCCGAGGATCACAACCCAGCAACCCGAATGGCAATAGACAGAGAAGAGGAAGACCTTGGTGTGATCAATGTCGCAAACCAGGACATCAAAGGGAAAATTGCTGGAAACTCCATGGCAAACCTGCGGATTGGAAGCCTTCACGATCAAACTATGACAAGGAAAGCCGAGGAAACACTGCAGCCACTCAGAAAACAAAGAAAGTCATTCTAGTCCCACTCAAACCGAGAGCAATCCTTTCACCAAGGAGCAGCTTGAAGCTCTTCAAAAACTCTTCAGCCAGGCAAACATCACGACAGCCACAGGATCAAGCATGCTAGCACATAAAGGTAATTTCTCAGAGGCCTTTGCTGTTGATAAAAATTATACAAGTCCTTGGATTGTAGACTCAGGGGCCTCGGATCATATGACAGGAGATGCTACTGCTTGCCACAAGTACAGCCCCTGTCACGGAGACCATACAGTTCGAATAGCAGATGGTTCGTCATCTAGGGTTAAGGGAGTAGGCTCAATCAGAGTCACCAAGGATGTAACCCTACACTCAGTCCTTCATGTTCCTAACTTAAATTGCAATTTACTCTCCATCAGTAAGCTCACTCGTGACCTCAATTGTGTAACTAAATTCTTTCCTACCTATTGTGAATTTCAGGAACTGGATTCGGGGAAGAAGATTGGCAGTGCTGAGGCGTGTTCCGGGCTCTATCTCCTTAAAGATGAGAATCCTTCAAAAAGGCACATTCCGAACATGAGTCATAGATCATCCAAGAGTCCGTCATGTTTAAATTCTTATGTCAATAAAGATAGTGAAATTATGTTATTACACTATCGCCTTGGTCATCCAAACTTCTTGTATCTTCAGAAAATATTTCCATCATTATTCATCAATAAAAGTGCAAAGTTCTTTAATTGTGAAGTTTGTCAGTTTTCTAAACACACTCGCAATAAGTATCCAAGTTCCTACTATAAACCATCTCGTCCCTTTACCTTTATTCATAGTGATGTGTGGGGCCCTTCAAGGATCAAAACGGTAACAGGAACACGATGGTTTGTGTCATTTGTTGACGATCACACAAGATTAACTTGGGTGTTCCTCATGAAAGAAAAATCTGAAGTTGAGCAAATTTTCAAAAACTTCCATGCTATGATTCAAACACAATTCCAGACAAAAATTCAAGTCCTAAAAACCGACAATGCCAAAGAGTACTTCAAATCACTCTTAGACACCTACCTTATGAGTCAAGGGATTGTTCACATAAGTTCGTGTGTTGACACACCCCAACAAAATGGGGTTGCCGAAAGAAAAAATAGGCATCTATTAGAAGTAGCACGATCTCTCATGTTCTCCACTAATGTCCCTAAACATTTTTGGGGAGAGGCAGTTCTCACAGCCACATATCTCATCAATAGAATGCCATCCAGAATTTTAAAGTTCCGCAGCCCTTATAGTGTCCTCCTCCAAAATTTCCCTCACACTAAATTTATCTCCTCTCTAGACCCTAGGGTGTTTGGCTGCTCTGTATTTGTTCATATATACTCACAACATCGTAGCAAACTTGATCCCAAATCCATCAAATGTATTTTCCTAGGGTACTCCTCACATCAAAAGGGCTATAAGTGTTACTTTCCCATAACAAAACGATTCTATACCTCCATGGATGTCAAATTCTTTGAACATCAATCCTACTTTCCCAAATCTGCAATTCAGGGGGAGAAAATGAGTGAATACCAGCTTTGGGATCTTGATGTACAATCCGGGGATAGTCAAATACTTGGGAATCTTCCTTCTCCACCCGAGAGTCAACTACCTTCTTCTTTTCCTCCACTTCCCGAGAGTCCTTCTCCACCCGAGAGTTCACCTTCCAGTCCTGTCCAAAGTGCCAATGAAAAATTACTGGTTTACTCCAGAAGGAAAAAATCCGAAAGGGAGACAGAACACGCAGCACCCCTCACACTCGACCATGAAGCTGATCCGGATCCTATGCCTCCTCAAATTCACTCGGGTAAGGAATCCTCTGATCCTGCAACCTCAGCCCCGAGTGTGGAAGATTTAAATGTCCCAATTGCTATGAGAAAGGGTGTTAGATCGTGTACACATCCCTATTTGCCACTTTATCTCATATGAAGGATTAACACAAGCTTTTCAAGCTTTTGTGTCAACTCTTGATAGTGTGCAGATTCCTAATTCTATTTATGAGGCTCTCAAGGATTCAGAATGGAGAAAAGCAGTCCGTGAAGGACTTAGTGCGTTGGAGAAGAATGGGACATGGATAATAACTAATCTTCCGTGTGAAAAGAAACCAGTCGGATGCAAGTGGATATTCACAGTCAAACATAATGCGGATGGAAGCATTGAAAGACTAAAAGCCCGACTAGTTGCAAAGGGATTTACTCAATCCTATGGGATAGACTATCAAGAGACGTTTGCGCCAGTGGCCAAGTTGAACACCATCAGAGTCCTTCTCTCACTTGCTGCGAATCTAGATTGGCCGATGCACCAACTAGATGTTAAGAATGCATTTTTGAATGGTGACTTGGAAGAAGAAGTTTACATGCAGATACCTCCAGGACTGGAAACTACCGTCAGCAACAACAAGGTATGCAAGCTCAAGAAGTCACTATATGGACTCAAGCAGTCTCCTCGAGCTTGGTTTGACAGGTTTGTACACTCAGTGTCAAGCAGATCACACACTGTTTGTAAAGTTCTCTACCGGGAAAAAGATAGCAGTTCTTATTGTATATGTGGATGATATCATCCTAACAGGAGACCATGAGGAGGAACTGGTAAGATTAAAAGAGTTTCTAGCTAAGGAGTTTGAAATCAAAGACCTTGGTAACCTTAAATACTTCCTTGGAATGGAAGTGGCCCGATCCAAACAAGGAATATTTATCTCTCAACGCAAATATGTCCTAGACCTACTGAAGAAGACAAGAATGCTTGGCTGTAAACCTACAACCACACCAATGGACTCGGCAAAGAAGCTAGGGACTGGGAACGACACTAAACCTGTTGACA